AAAGAGTTGAACATTCTTTGGAATTACAATATCAGCGCACGGATGAACTTCTTATAAGATGTGGACGGCGACCAACAAGTGGTGATTGACGAGGGTTTGTGGTGGTTGGTGATGGTTGGCAGGTGGTAGTCGACGGCAGTCAGCAGTGGTCGATGGAGGTAAGAGCTGTGCTGGACTTTAGCTCATTTTCAAAGCTTCAAGATCTCTTTCTCAAGCCTCCAACTCTATTTTAGACCCCCCCCCACCCTCCATCTATTTATAGAGTTCCAGAAGCAATTAATGCAAAAATATGAACCACTTTAATTGGACGGTCCATAGAGTTTTCTTTGATAATACAAAGTTTGATGGACATTGAAACGTCTTATGATTTCATAACTGAAAAATTTTAGGCTTGTTGGATTTATCTTGTCGAGATGCTCAATTCGACTATAAGCTTGTCAAATTTGACATCCGTTTGATCTTTCCAATATGCTTAGAAAGCTTCTAAAAATGGTTTAATGCCTTGATTGGGGCTTGATTTGACTCGAATTAGCCCAATTTTGGTATCATTGGGTTCATCTCGTTGAGTCGGTTAGTTTGACTATTAATTTTACTAAAATTGGATCTTCGGAAGACTTTTAATCAAAGTTTTAACATTTCTTGCTTAAAATATTGTATCGAGATCTGTTTTATGCACTGAGATTCGTGTTGGATATTGAAAATATGTTGATGACGTATCAAGCTCATATGTTTGTAAGTGCAACAAATAACTCATTTATAAGCTCAAAAAACTAGCTTGATTAGAAAATAAATAACTCAACCATACTACTCATGATTCTATTCAATAAATCTTATTTAGTTAGAGAATAAATAATATTATAAAACTAATTCTAATTTGCTCAATAAAGATTGTTTGGATAAAATTAAGTAGCTTGATAATTATTCATTAATTTGATCGATAATGGCTCAATTATCATCATATAAAACGAACAAGAATCGAACTCGATCATTGTTGAGAAATTAGGGCGAAGAAAAATAAGAATCGACATAAATTCAAAAGAACACACAGTGATTGACGAGGTTCGGCAAAGATGTCTGCATCCTCGGGAGCAGAGCGACAACTTCCTTTTCAATATTCATAAAAGAGTACAGAATACAAAATTCAAAATCTCAGGGTATTGAAGACTCACCTAGAGTTACTGACATTACATATATATAATCCTATAGTACAATATGTAATTACTTAAATTACCCTGTACCAAACCACGGGGTGTTGCCCCCGCACCCCCAACCCTCATAATGAAACTCCCCCGATTGGGCAGATCCTTCCGCTCCACTCTACTCGCGGGCTCCGCTCCGCTCTAACATCTGTTACATTAATGGTATATGAGTCATACCTAACAATTGTTGAGAAATTAATGCGAAGAAAAACAATCATAAATTAAGTTTGAACATAAACACAACTCAAATAAACAAACATAAGCTAGAACACAATCTCAAAAGCTCAATTTGAGTTCAAACTTGGCTTAAGCTAATTTCATAAATAAGCTCGAGCTTGAAAACAACCCTACTCGACTTAGCTTGATTCTTTTGCAGCCATACTACCAGTCTGTCCGAGCAGTTCAGCTTGTCTGATCGACCAGAGAGAACTTATCCAATCATCAACTATTTAAGTGTGTCTGACAAATTTGGCCAAAGTTGTCCATAACAATTGCAAAGTTGATTTCTTCAAGTTAGCAAGACCAACTTAGCCAATTTGCCCGAGGATGAAATAATAGCTCATATTAAAAGCTGATTAAACTAATAAGATATTTAGGTTATGAATTATGCTATTTTTTTGTACAAAATGTTGTGCTATGTACATAGTACTTTTATTTATTATGTTCATATGTGACTTTTTATGAAGCATACCTCATGCCATTCTATCTAAAAATATAGGTGGCCCCCTACATCAATAAGTTTTCTTAAAGGCTTTATTCCTCTTTAGTCGATGGATGCCAATGAATATTTCAGCATCCAATAAAAATAATTAAACTCATCAAAGTTTATTTTAGTTCTTTAATCTTATGTGCATTGATTAGTTTAATATTAATGAAATCTATAAGGTTAAAATTACAAATATAGTTTAATTTTAAGACATCTATCTAATTTCGATACTTCAAAATTTTTTTTTCACAATTTACATTTTTTAGAGTTTTAAGACATTCATATATTTTTTTGTAGCATTTCAAAATAAATTTAGATTTTTGCTTCCTTGAGTTCTAAATTATAAATATAAATTTTACTCAACTAGAAAAGAAAAAAAAAAACAAAAACAATAAATATAGGAAATTCTAAGAATATACACTTAAATATCATTGAATAATGATTAACTAACAAGAAGAAAGATGTTATCCTTGCTAGGGCTGTCAAAACGGCTTGTTGTTCGTGAACAGCTCGTGTTTGGCTCATTAAGAAATTTGTGTTCAGCTTGTTAGCTAAGTTAACGAGTCGAACATGAACAACACGAACAATTATTTGTTCATTCGTGTTCGGCTCGTTTTGGCTCGAAATACTACTAATCAATTATATATATATCTTTGATGAGTAGTATTTTTAAAAAAAATTAATTGACTACAAGGCTAATCAATCAAAAGTATGAATGAAGAAAATAGAATAAAAATTATTAAATTAGATTCAAGTGATGTTTTAAATCATGCCCCAATCCTTAACATATTATGTCTACGTGATTAGAGTTGTCACAATGACTCTTTGTTCGTGAACAGCTCGTGTTCGGCTCGCTAAGCAAACAAGCTGAACACGAACACATTTTCTAAGCTCGAAATATAAACAAGCCGAACATTGGCTCGTTTACACCCCTAATCCTTGCAAAATCATTATTTTAAATTAATATAAATGAGCCATTACTAATATAAATGGAATTTTCTCAAAGCAAATAATATGTTTTTTTTTTAAATATCATTTTATCAACATAACTGTTGTTCTACATTAACATATATACTATTTAACCGATTAATATATACCTTCTCAAAATAAAATCAAATAGTCAGCTTCAAACTTCACGTATATTAAATTAATGTTCATTCAATATCAATTAAAATATAAAATCTCATATGAATATACACTTAAAAGTTATCACATTTTATTGGTTTAAAATGAGTTTACAATCTTCTAAATCAATAAAAACATGCTCCTCATGATAAAAATATTACGTCCGGAGTCAGGATGCAAACAACGTCCAGATAGGGGACGCGATACATTGAGGGCAGTTTTTTTTTTCCTCCTCTGCTCCGTCCGGTGTATCACGTCCCAACGCAATATGTTTTCCTCCTTAAATTAGTAAATATATATTTTCTCTCTATATGACTATATTTTTCCTTTCAAAATAATTGTCATAATCCTCATATTACTACAACAAACTTTAAGATTTTCTCATAAAAAATACGCCAATCTCTTCTCCAAACTTTGCAACAAAGCTATTTATATATAACAAATAAGATTTTCCTTACAAATTCATACTAATAAAATCAAATTTAAGAGCCTCATCAAAAATACAATCCCACCTAACTTGAGTACTTCAACCTGCCTCACAAGACTAATCACCATTCTAAGCATTTACTAAAGCCTAAATTTCTTTCTGAGGCTTTTCAGGATCCTCCTTCTCTGGATCTTCTTCTTCCTCCTCTTTCTTCTCACCCTCTTCCTCTTCCTCCTCATCTTCCTGTGGAGGATCAGCTGGCAAAGGAGTGGGGAGTGGAGTCTTCATTGGGCTGAATTTTGGAAATATATCTGGTCTCCGTCCAGGCTTTGGTCTCTCCCATTCCTGCAAAATCAAAGATAGATTTGAATCACGCTCCATTTAGTCTTACTGATTATAGAAGATGATGGACGGGGGCAATTATGTATAATATAAAAATTTAACCTTGAAAACTTTGGAAGATTAACATGCATACCGCTCAATTCCTATATAGTTACATATCTAACACCTAAACTTCAATTTTCACATATATGCCACTTTAAGTGTGCATGAAAAGATGTGTTTTACTTTTTTAAAAGTGAAAATAGTGATACATAGGAATTGGGTGGTGTGTGTGTGTGTGTGTGTGTGTGTGTACTCTTTGTTCGTGAACGACTCGTGTAAGCTCGCTAAGCAAACAAGCTGAACACAAACACACTTTCTGGGCGTGTTTGGCTCGTTTACACCCTTGATCCTTGCAAAAACATTATTTTAAATTAATATAAATGAGCCATTACTAATATAAATGGAATTTTCTCAAAGCAAATAATATGTTTTTTTTTTAATTACATTTTATCCACCATACCGGTGTTTTTACTTAAACAATAATATATTTATTTTAAATTAATATAAATGAGCCATTACTAATATAAATGGAATTTTCTCAAAGCAAATAATATGTTTTTTTTTTAAATATCATTTTATCAACATAACTGTTGTTCTACATTAACATATATACTATTTAACCGATTAATATATACCTTCTCAAAATAAAATCAAATAGTCAGCTTCAAACTTCACGTATATTAAATTAATGTTCATTCAATATCAATTAAAATATAAAATCTCATATGAATATACACTTAAAAGTTATCACATTTTATTGGTTTAAAATGAGTTTCCAATATTCTAAATCAATAAAAACACGCTCCTCGAGGAAAAAAATATTACGTCCAGAGTCCGGATGCAAACAACTTCCGGATAAGAGACACGATCCATTGCGAGCAGTTTTTTTTTTCCTCCTCCGCTCCGTCCACCGTCCGGTGTATCGCGTCCCAACATAATATGTTTTCCTCCTTAAATTAGTAAATATATATTTTCTCTCTATATGACTATATTTTTCCTTTCAAAATAATTGTCATAATCCTCATATTACTACAACAAACTTTAAGATTTTCTCATAAAAAATACGCCAATCTCTTCTCCAAACTTTGCAACAAAGCTATTTATATATAACAAATAAGATTTTCCTTACAAATTCATACTAATAAAATCAAATTTAAGAGCCTCATCAAAAATACAATCCCACCTAACTTGAGTACTTCAACCTGCCTCACAAGACTAATCACCATTCTAAGCATTTACTAAAGCCTAAATTTCTTTCTGAGGCTTTTCAGGATCCTCCTTCTCTGGATCTTCTTCTTCCTCCTCTTTCTTCTCACCCTCTTCCTCTTCCTCCTCATCTTCCTGTGGAGGATCAGCTGGCAAAGGAGTGGGGAGTGGAGTCTTCATTGGGCTGAATTTTGGAAATATATCTGGTCTCCGTCCAGGCTTTGGTCTCTCCCATTCCTGCAAAATCAAAGATAGATTTGAATCACGCTCCATTTAGTCTTACTGATTATAGAAGATGATGGACGGGGGCAATTATGTATAATATAAAAATTTAACCTTGAAACTTAAAAAAGTGTAGGCCATGGCCACAAACCACTGAATTTTATAGAGAAGGGACATGAGCCCTTAACATTTTAAGTGCGCATGGGCATGCTTTAGCCTCTAATCATAAAGTTTTATAAAAATGAAAAACAAAAAAAAAAAATTACCTAATGATTGAATGCTTATTAGTTGCTAGACTAAAATGTTTTGAAACCCCAAAAAGAAGTAGGATTCGCATACAAACCACTCAATTCCGATGTATTCACGTATCTAAAACCTAAATTTCAATTTTTAGATACACGCCACCTTATTTATGCATGAAAAGGTGTATTTCAATTGAAATGAAGGATTTAGGTGGTACAATGCTGAAAGCAAAGTTTAAGTGTTAGATATTTAAAGACATAGGAATTGGGTGGTATTATTTAAATGCCACCCCCCACAGAAAAAATAAAAGTTGACCACACCATAATGCACCAAAAAGTTTCAAGTCTCACGAGACAACAATCAAGAAAAGCAAGAAAATGCAATGGGAAGACGATTGGAAGAGAAATCAACTTAATTTTCTCATCATTACTAACAATAAGTCATGATTTTTCCACAAATTTTAGTCGACCACCTAAAACAACCCTCTACTTTTTGCACCGGGGACTGGAAACCCGATAAGGAAAGTATTATATGATGATCCGGTTAGAAGAGTAGATGCTTCAGATTGAACTTATCTTAAGAAAAGTAGATGTAGACCTAAAAAGATTTGGGCATATTGTATAAAAAATGATCTTAATTTATTAAAAATAAATGAAAATATGACACTCAATAAGACAATGGAGAAAAATGATTCATGTAGCTGACCCCCACTTAGTGGGATAAAGGCTTGTAGTAGTTGTACTAACAATAAGTCACCACACAACTAATATCAAATTATTAATTAATTTCTTCAAGAACCTCAAAAAATATTTCATCACCATAACACACATGCTTAACTAATGCTCTTCAAATGATCACCTTTTAGCTCTTAACAGGGCTTCCATTATGTATAAAATGGCACAGAGATTTCTGCCGGTTACCTATGCGTCACAAAAGTATATTTCTAACTTAGCCCAATGAATTAATGAAAGGGGCAATTACATACATACCGCCCAATTCCTCTGTATTTTCATATCTCACACCTAAACTTTACTTTTTTACATTTGTACAACTCAAAGCTTTCAAATTATATCAAAAAATACCACGATTTTAACTTTTAAAAGGTGAAATACGCCTTTTCATGGACAGGTAAGGTGGTATGTATGTACACATTGAATATTAGGTGTTAGATGTGTAAATACACTGGAATTGAGTGGTCTGTATGTAAATCTTCCTTGAAGAAAATAAGTACATTATAGGTTATAATGCAGATTTCAATAGATTGGCGGTTAATGCGGCACAATTCCCAGGTTAGTCGTGCAGTAAGAAGAGAAATGCAAGCAGTACAGTTAGTTGGCAATTTGGAATACTCAGGGTGCATCATGTAATTACACGCAAGAAGAATGATGTGTGGATATTAGCTCTCCGTAAAAAAAGATAATCAAATTCAAATAGCAGCACATGAGAAAGGAGCTTTTCACAGCATCCACTCTGCTGACATAAGAATCAAATTTCACTTTCATTGAATAAATAAAGCAGCAATCATGTTATTGGCTCAGATCTTGATCTTCATGGCTCTCTTGTGCAAAGCCATCAGTTCTTTTATGTCCGCCGTCAGCAAGTGCTGCTGATGTGGAATGAGTAGCCTTATAATTATGAATTATTGACATTTAATTTGACGCATTTTCTCATCAACATTAAGCTTTGTCCACCATTTGAGCAAACATTATCTGTATCTTTTCTCAGGATTGTAATTGAGGCTCAAACCCAGAGAATTCCACGATCTATAAAGAAATAAACTAAATTTTCTTATAATGATTTTTTTGGACCAACTCTTCTCATTTTAGGAGAAGCTTCAACTCATTTAGTGTAACAATCTTTTAATGTTTCGGGAAAAATATCAAGATTAGTCCCTATAAATCACCACCATATATAGAACCAAGCTGATATTTCTCCGCTAATAGTTTCTTTGGTTATAATGAGGAGCTAAGAATGTTTTTGTAAATGGTTTACAAGAAATAAAACTTCCATCGTTGCTTGTACATATGTCCAGTAGTTAATTACAGTTTTATATTGTAAATTTGCAGTTAAGTAACTAAGTCTTTCTTGGAATAAAGTTAGACCTCAATCCTTGGAATGAAGTTAGACCCTCATCCTTATGATGAATAATTTTCTGTACAAAGAATTTACTGTACAAAATCGTATGCGTTGCATCGTCTTTAGCATGCTCAAGGGTGACACATTTTAGTTGAATTAAAATTTTTTCATAAGTTTCTTATGTAAAAGATTCATAAGGAAATGTGTTATTTCCCATTTCAAATAAGACTACTATATTAATGTTAAAATATTCAGAATTGATGTCAATGATACTTTATTTAATCGATTTAGTAATATAAACTCATTCTGCTGTTACGACTTCCTTAAGGGAAGGAGAAGCTTGATAGAGGATGACTCTCCTTTTTCTGTATTAGAGGCAGGAGCAAGAGCGTTTCCATAAAGATATTCGCCCAGGTCAATTGGAATGCGAGTAGTGGTTAAATTAGTAATATGACTTCCTCTCCCCTGCAAGAGGAAGCAACACCTCTAAGTCATCGACTCGGTGCTCTTATTATTATTATTATTATTAAAATTATTATTATTATTATACCAGACAAGTGGGATTTATTTCATCCTCCTTTAAGTCAGTAGCCCTGCGTTCTCGGGTTTTTATACTATATAACATTACAATAAAAAAATAATTTGAAAGAGTCTTTTCCTCAAGATTACTGAGTTTAGTCAACAGAATATAGAATTTAATGTCATTCAAACACATAAGCGGGACTTGCACCTAAATGCGAGGTAAAACTCAATAATTCTGGAAAAAGAGAGACAGATGCATACAACATAACATGACTACCAAAAGCACTCTTCCATAATAACATTACTACCATCTAAAGATCTAAAAGAACACTGAAGCTCTAACCTGACTATTGCCATAACATTATTACTTCAGAATTTATGCAGAATATTATTAAAAAAACTTATTGATGAGAGCTCTCTACTGCTCTCTGTATGGATTCGTATTCCAATAGTAATACAAATTCTTCTATTATTATTAGAGTCTTCTCCATGAGGCACAGTCAATTAATTAAGAATGCTAAAAATGTAAGAACACCCTCTTAATGAGAAAGACTTAAATAGATGATTCATTCCTAAAGTAGATACTTCTCTTATCTACATAATAAGAACCTTTGATTTCAAAGAAAAAACATCCATTAAGACTGTAAAACAGTTGAACACAATAGATCGGGATGATAAAATTATTTAACTATTAACAAATGAAAAATTGCATAAATATATGCCAGATTTCAAATATATTCAAATCGGTCTCATTCAAATTGCATTCAAACCACTCACATTAGAAGGTTTAAATGCATCACTATTTGTTTGCTTGAGAAATGATAGATGTCTTAACTGGGTTCCATCTCTCATGGGTGTCAAAACAAGTCTGTGCCACAGGTCAGTTTATTTCAACAGTTTTCCTAATTTAAGTTTATCTTTGACAGATGTTAACCTCATTGAAGTTGTCAAACTTCAACTGCAGTTACATGATTATGATTTCCTCCCATAATCAGAAACTATAGTTTTGATGTTTTGATATTTAGAATTCACTTTCGAATCCTAATACTTTAAACTCTAATGTTAAAAGGGCAGTTCAACCAATTGAAAGAACCATTTTAATTGAAACCACCCACTTGGCCTCCCATGTTGCCACTAATAGAACTATTACATGGAACGATGAAACCTTCCCAGAGTCGCAAACTATTCAATCAGCCTCTACTCCAAAGCCAATTATAAATAAAAATATTGATCAGATAATCCAACCAACTGATGGAGATATTGATGTTAGATTGAAACCTAGAAGATTTATAACTATTCCAAGAATATTGATCCCATCTAAAATTCTGTTGGCTCGTCTTCACCTCATGAAGAAGCATCAATAGAAGCTTGAGCGAGAAAAAAAAGCATCAAAATTTTCATTCAGAAAGAAAAAAATCATACTCCCACTCTCACACCTTCTGAGATGAGTTTAATTTTTAATGAATTACGCCCTAGAGAGTAATGCGAGAGCTATTCTCATTGATAATATCAACTTGCTATAAGAACTTTAGACAGTGTTATCAAAAGAACACGACTGAAGTATTTTGTCTTAAAATACGTGAAGTACATTTCAAAGACATACTTTAGAAGAAATAAACAAGGGAAATGTTTAATTCAATTTGTTCCTTAGTTTACTCAGCATTATACTCACCATGACTAGTAAAAAATGGTAAAATGAATAAGAAGAGGTAATTGAGTCACCATATCCTCCCTTGAAGGCTAGCATTAGCAATGATAAACCAGAAAGTCTTAAGCTCACAACCTTCAGAAGAATCAATACTAATGCACAAATAGCGTTGTAAACGAGCTCATGTTCGAAATTAGCTCGCGTTCGAAATAACTCGTGAACAGTGTGTTCGTGTTCGGCTCGAAAAACTTATTCATGTTCGTGTTCGGCTCAAGAATGGCTCGTTAAAATATAAAATTCTTATAATAATTAATTTTTTAAATAAAATTTAAATAATTATTTTAAAAAAAAATTTGTTTGTATAAAAATTAATTAATTATAATTTATATTATTAAATTTTATGAATATTTATTATGTATATATATAAACAAAAGAGTGAACAAACTTTTGTTCGTGTTCGACTAGTTTACATTTCGAGCTTAAGAATTTGTTTTTGTTCGGTTCGTTGGCTGCTTAACGAGTTGAA